AGTCACTCACATATTTATAATTTTTTCTTGTAAATTGAATATAATTAAGAAAAGAAATGGTGAACTAAACTTTGTGATTTATTTTATCAAGAAAAATTTTATATATATCATTTAGTTTTCTCATTTTTAATAACAATTTTCTTGAAGGTTATTCCTTTGTACAAAACTAATTGAAAGTTCCTGATTTTTGGAATACACGACCTCTTAATAGGCTTGACAGTATTCATTGTCAAGTGCCTAAATTACAACATGAAGCTATGCATTGTAGTCTGATGGTTATTAATTACTCACTTCAAGACCTAATTCATGATTAGTGAAATATCATAGACAATGGAAGCCATTTAGAGAATTCACTTTCAATTTTTTTACCCTCCTTTGTCTATTCACACGATCCATAAAAAAACATAAGCAACCTTTTTCAAATAAACAATAAACGGCGGTTGAAACTTTTTCGAACCAGCTACCTGAACGTTGCATTGAAAAAAAATTGCAAACGGGTCAAAGGAACAACCCTTTTAGAGATTAAATACGTTTCGAGTAAAGCCTGCGTGGTTGGCGACGGTTTTTTTTGCTATAAGTAAAAAAACATCGAATGTTTTTCCTGTTAAATAAGTTAAAAACTCTAACAATAAACCACTATTTACGGTTACTTTTAGTTTTAACAATCGATAAATACAAAGGAGTTTTAGACTTTATATGTATACGTACGAGTCAAATTGAGATTGAATCTAAGGAAGCTTTAGGATTTCTAATGAAAATACACCTACTACTATTTTTAATATAGATAATAATTCAAATTTATTATTTAATTATAATATTTGATAAATTTTGCATTCACAATGATATACTGGAAAATATTCTTAATGAAAAAATGTTTAAAAATTCACCAGTTCCAGGTAATCGAACCCACGACCTTTCGGCATCTGGGCGACTGCTCTAACCACTGAGCTACTCAGGAGCTAACAGGACTAACGAATTTTTCGAGCACTTGTTACGTTTCGCTACTAGTAAGCGTATTTTCATCGAAATATTTTTTCATTTTAAACTTTCGGTTAATATGAAAATTTTGTTCCAATTATTTTATTTGATCAATTTTGCAATCACAATGCTATATTGAAAAGTATTCTTAATGAAACAGGCTTAAAAGTCCCCTAGTCCCAGGTACTCTAAGATGGGTATCGAATTCATCATCTTTGGTAATTCGGGCGACTGCTCTGACCACTGAGGTACCCAGGTCCTTTTATTAAGAATATTTTCCAGTTATTTTTTCTTTAATAAAAGATATAATCATTTTCTAACATTATGCCAGTAAGTACATTGACTGAATTTTTTAACAATATTAATTTTATTTCCTCACTTGAGAAACGAAAGATATATACTAACAACTTGGATATAATATTGGTAAAATAGACGCACGAATTAATAATTAATTGCTTTTGCGACTACAATTTGTGTAAATACATCATAAAAGTTAATTGTAAAGAAAAAATAATAATACAAATAAAAGCTCAGAACAGAAAGCTCTGAGAATAGATGTTCTACGTACTTTTTGTACCACAAAAATAATAGCCTTTTTCATAAAAGTTTAATGTTCAGATCATAACATTTCAATAGAGAGGATAGCTAAATTATCTGTCTGTCTTGTATAAGAGAACTATATCTAAATCTTTAAGGCTTCGAGCCCATGTCACCACTTCCGCTCTTTAGCTGTGTCACTAGAAACTATAAATACGCTTCTCGTTGCTAGAACTTTTATTTATTTCATCATAGGAAGACCTACAGCTAATAAAGATAAATTATAGTAAGAATAGTAGAAGACAGCAAGTTACAGATTCTCACAATTATAAAACATAATTTACACGTAAGTACAGTATTACTTGTATACAATTAGAGTTGCCAACTGAAAAAGTCTTTGCTTAATGCGATTCTGCCTGAAGATAGACTTGCATTTTTGTTAATTTCTAGTTTCCAAATCTACTTTTTACACTAATCGCAGACCAGCTTTTGAGACCAGCCTGCGTAACATGAAACTCGAGAGACTACATGACTTCTTGAGTCTCGAGGGAACGAGTTGACAACTACAGTACTTATTCTCTATATTCCATAAATATATTTAGTTCTACTGTTTATAAATGATTAAAGTTTGGTTTAAACATAAACATTTTCAATATAAAATATTGACATAATATATTAAATAGACATGGAAAGAAGTAGTTGAGTCTATAAACATCTAGAGCCGATCTGACGTGTTTCTACAAATAACATATTAGAAAAAATACTTCTATATTTGATCTAAATTATATTCAATACAAATTAAAGGTATGAATTATTAATATCTTGTACAAATTCCATATTGATAGCGAGTTTATCGTGTTTCAATCAATTTTATTAGATTTCAGTTTGAGACAATTAATCTTGATAAAAACTGATTGATGAGTTATTATTTTTCAATTTTTATTTTAAATATTTTTTCTTTCGTAGTGACGTACTTTTCGATTAGATCATTACATAAATATGTTTACACATGGTTTACATTGTTAAATTAACAATCTATGACTTCGTCTACAATAAAAAACTATATAGAGACATAAAGAGTGACGGTAGAGTACCTTATATTATAAAAATTATGTGCCTCAAATTTTGTTTTCAGATTATAAACGATTATGAACAAGTTTAAATGATATGAATAAATCTGAAAATACAATTTAGTTGTACATATAAATAACTAGCTGTTTTCTCGCGACTTCGCACGCGTAAATTATAGCCAACCCCGTATGATGTAACTTCGGTTCAGTAGTTTCGGAGCCTATTCGGTGCCAACAAACAAACAATAAAATCTTTCCTTTTCATACTATTAATATAGAAATAGATTCGTATTTTAGATTTTCGATCGCATGTCTATACATTCCATTCTCAAAAAAGAGGGTCCTTTCGTTCTCTCTGGCTCTAATGCGTCCTCTTCGAAGAAAATTCCTCATTGAAACCAGTTCCATATTCGAAAATGTGAAAGGGCGTAAATAAAAGAGTTCGTATACTTAGGTATAAATAAAAAAGATCGTGTTACAGTTAGGAAAAATGAATGTAATAGAAACACATTCATTTTGAAAGTAACATAAGTTTTAAAGGAAGTACTGTTACAATTATTCTTTAAATTATGCACATCATGCTTAAAATCTTAATTGAGATTTCATCAAATTTATCCAACCATACTTTGTTTTTTTTTTTCCATCAGTAATTTCAAGTTAAAGAGATTAATATATATTGTGTAAGTATTAATGGCTTATTTTGACAGATGTTGCTACGGTTTAGTCACCATTTAACCGTTCAGGTTTATTTGGTGTAAATTCACGATTTATAAATAATTAAGAAAAGTAAGAAAGGTTTGAATAATAATAAAAACACTTAAAATAAATATGTGTAACCATCCAAGGAGAACAGATTAAAAACATTACAACCACATGTAGGCAAGCGTACCAACATCAAAACTCGAACTTGGAACTAATTAAACCAACTAACAAGCGACCACTTCCGATTTCGCATTTTGGGGTAGCATGGCAACACTGGCGACCCCAGGGAGGGGGGACGTATAAGCCGCTTATAAGGGAGGTAGCAGGGCTGTTTTGATTATTTCCAAGGATGTCTTCTTGCTTCGTAAATTATGCAACGCTTTTGCTTTTCGTCGTTCCGTTGTTTTAGATAGTTATATAGACAATTGTGAATTGCTCGTCGATTCCATTTTATTTGTAGAATAAATTTTCCGTCATAGTGTATCCTTTCGTCGAAATCGTTAAAGGAAAAAGGCTGACATCCTCATAAATTGATAACATTTTAGTTGCTAAATCTTTTAGGTTTGTATATTTATATAATTTAATAAGTTCTGCTTCTTTTATACTAATTTCATTATGACATAATGTTACTTCGCAATTTTCTTCTATTCATATGAAGGTTTTCGTCGTATGTATACAGAATTAATGGATATAAAATTCTAAATATCATCTGTTAGCTAAAGCGACATACAAACTAATACGTAGTAGTAAAGTGGAATTTTCAAATTTTTTTAATCTCGTATACAGATTCAGAAAGAAGGGAGGAAGGAAATGAGTATTATATATTTTTTAACCGGCTTCAAAATCGTAAAGGAGGAGGTTATATGTTCGACGGCGATGTATTTTTATTATGTATGTTCACCGATTTTCAAAACTATTTTATTAATCGACAGTTTGATGGATCTAGGTCCCATTTAAATTTTATCGAAATCGAATATAAAGTTTTCCTTTTACAACAAAACAAAATACTTGGCGAGTATGTATACTTTATTCTTTGATGTATATTTTTTATGAAAGTCATAGATAATAGGTATCAATGAGTAAAGTATATATGTATATATATGAAAATGTTATTGAAGTCAGGCGCTTATCATTTAATCTATAATCTACAGAAAACCGACTTCAATAGAATTTTCTTGAATAAGTCGTTTTTGAGATAAGTATTATTTATAACTTTTTTAAGTTAAAGTAGCTTCTACTTTTTATTAAAAGTTTTGTACGTTGTATCGTAGTTAGTAATTATATTTAATACACATTTAAACGTTAATATTAACACAAGCAACTTCATATAAACTTTTATATCTTTACCTGAAAAGATGTTCGCAATGATAAGTGAGTATTATCACTCTAATACTAAAATATATGAAATTAATACACACGGATCTAAATATGACCACCGCTTTAGTCTCGCATATTTAAAAAAAAAAAAATTAGATAATCGGCTAACGTTCGGAAACGTGAAGATATGGATGTTACAAACTTCGATGATAAACAAAGCAAAACACGGCTGAGGACTTACATCGAAGAACTATTTCATCTCTATGTCAGTATTTGATATGTGAAGTAAAGATTGGTGTATTTTCATCGGAGTTACTCGTATAACTTAAACTTTATCACATAAATTCTTTGAATCTCTTTGTAAGAAGGTATGGTTGTAATAAAATAAAAACTTACCTTGTGGAAACCCCACTGCCTCTAATCCGTGGTGCGTCAGCCCGAACGGACCGAGGCCCCCTAAAGGGCCCGGCCCCATTCCCATATGGTGTGCACTAGAGTGGTGCGCATAAGGATTTTGCGCGAGCGGCGATGGTTGTTTCAAATAATGGAAGTAATGATGCAGCGGCGTGGTCGAGTGGTGGGCCTGAGGCGCCGCGGGCCCTGTTGTGGGCCCCGTGGCTGAAGAATTCGTGAGCAACGCCATCACTGTGGGTAGTCACCGTAGTAGCCTTTTTCTGATGTGTGTCGACATTTTGGCGGGCTGTTATTGCGGTGAGATATGGTTTTGCCGCTGCATTTTGTTGTTGTTATATCTGTAAGAGAAACATGTAAAGATTTAGTGTGGGCAAAGTAAAGTTGGAAAACTAAATTTTATTTTCATGGTCAACAATAAAATTATTTTTTAAGTAGACTTGTGACGTTATTTTGAACGAATGAACGTGAAAGCAATCTGAATGTTTCGTTTATAAAATTAAACGATTCACTTGTCTTTATTTGTACTTAAATAATGTATTTATAAATACAAAAGTATTTAATCGTGTATAAATATAGAAAAAAAACAATCTTTTCAATACTCGTTGGTTTTTAAATTTCATACGAAATATCTTGTGAAATGTATTTTTGGCTATAAGTGGGCGTAAATTCATGATTGTAAACAAAACTCAACAATGCTTTATAATGCCTTGTTCGAGTTATTTGCAAATTCAGTCAATGCGTAAAGGATATGTTCATATCGACGCTGGAAAGCAAACACGTAGTAACCCGCAAAACCAAAATGGATATTTAGAGTGGAAAATCATTATATTTTTCCAAAAAAAGAAAACTTTTTTGGGTATAAATTGACTAAGGAACACTTTATTTATTACCATGGACATTTATAGGGATTATTTATCGAGAAAAATAAAAGTTTTTCTGCTCTGAAAAACAAGTATGGTTTTGCGGGTTACTACGTGTTTGCTTTCCAGCGTCGATATATTGGATATATAAGCCTGATAGTCAAGCTTTACTACTAAGATAGAATTCTTAGGCATGTTGAATCAATATATGATGATAATTGATGCTAGCAACAATTATAGTTGATAATATATGTATAATAATAAGTGTGTAATAGAGTAACGTCTCGATTATTAACGGCTCATTCAAAATTCTATTCAATCTAGCATACGTCGAATTCAATTATAAGCAACACTGATCTCATTTTTTGCATCAATCATAAACTATTTTACAATTACCCGGCGAATTTTATGCACTATTGCAACACTGGAGAAAAAAAAACAAAGTCAAACACGTGGAACGCCTTCCAAATTTGAAATATTTGAATGAACGTTCCGTTCCATTCGACACACGGCCGTTCTTTCGAGGATTCGAATTGCAAAATTGTAAAGCTTTTTTTTGTTAGTGAGGTGCGTGTAGGTACATGTTTACAGACATTTTGTCACGTTTATTTTTTCCATCTCTGTTACCTGAGATTCCTTTGCCAAATTGAAGGGGCCATGATCGCCTCGGGATCTTGTACGAGAAAAAAATTGACGAGCAATATCAAAGTGATGACATTTGAAATTGTAAAAAAAAATCCTTTCGTTCATATATAAATGAGTATGATATGAAATGTAACAAAATTCTTGCCTATTGAGTCATAGCAGGGTATTAAATGTCTGTATACGATATATGTCTTTTTTATCAATTGGCTACTGTTTATGGTATTAGCCGTAAGCCCTGAATAAGTGCCAATATCGTTGTTAAAATCTTCACGATAACATTTATAAGAGACTTATGATTGTAAGACTGCAGCTTTAGTTATGACTGAAACAATTCCGATATCAAATTGGTGTATATTTAACGAAAACAATGAATACTCGTAAATATTTTCAGCGAGGTCGTAATTCTTTTTAAGAAGATTTCATATGTATTTAAATAGGTATGTTATTTTTCAGGAGCAAGTTATATTTTGAGCAATGAGAATATATATGAAAAATATACTGGTTCTAGAAAGTTTCTCTAAAAAATTCTGCTCATTGTTTGCATTTTAAAATATCGTCACTTTCGGTAAAGTTTAGGCGACCGTTCCTAGAAACCACATTTCGTACTTTCCAACAGCCCACCTTAGATCTGTCAACAAAAGATTATCCTAAGCCTTAGATACTATCTACAATCCTTACAAATGCATAAGTTTTACGAATTTCGACTCTGTATGCACCAGATGAAAGTACAAAATATGTTATAGCAATTTAATATTCCGCTTCACTGAAATTCTACGGTTTTGGTGGTAAGTTTTTGAAAAGGCGTTCGATTGTGTAATAACGACTAAAGGACCATAGACGAAGTTTTTTCTTCGGACGGCGCGGTTTTTGAAGTATATTCGCGTCAGTAGTTTTAGCACAAGTGATAAATTAAAATTTAATAATACTTTGTTTTTTTTTTGAGATACGAATAACTTCTAAAATTTCGGCTTTTTATAAGATTCAGCGACATACAAATCATCATAATCGTTAAGTTTAATAATATTTCCACCGAAGGCGCATACGTTTTCAATATGGATGAAAACTAGTTCGAGATAGGGAGAAAGGCTTTAAGACACCACGCGGGCTTTGTGAGAGTTGGTGAATGTTGACGGCTGTACTTGGGATCAAGTGCCTATCGTGTTTTCCAAAGCGCGGAGGTGTTAGGACATAATAAATATTTGGTCATGCTTGTGTTAGTTTTTAACCTTCGCACTGCAGACTGGCACATTAACCACTGGAGAATCAAACTCGTTATCAAAAATAATATATAATTAGTCACTAGAGTTGCATACCTCGATGTAATAAAGAAATAGTAATTAAGAGTAGAAAAAGCACAACTACAAAAATGGCTATTTAGTCATAAGACAAAGGATAATGCATAGCATACCTAACAATCAAAGTTGAGTTCTTAGTTCTAAACCTCGAAGAAACCGTCGAATTACCGCATCTTAAAGATTCTGGTATCAAAATCCGGTAGGATTAATAAGAAAACCATATTGTCTTATCATTTTGGGTTTGAATGGTTTTGGTACATAATTTGTTTTCAACAAGGTTTTTAAGAGCAGTGTTTGCGTAACGTTGATCAACCTTTCATCTCTTATGATATTTATGCACTAGTAAAAAACTACTGTAGAATGTTATTCCTTTAGAAACTTTTCTATATTTTTGGGCGTTTCTGTTAAAAATCTGGTGATATAACAGACGCAAAATTACATTCTCCCCTATGGTGTCAATAACTCCTAAAATCTATTTGTCTGGCAATGAACGCTATAAATAATATCGGTGTGCAAACAACCGCCATATTGTGCGAAACAAAACAAACATTCGCGCCCTTTGGCTTGTTGTTTGCGCAGTTGGCAGCAGTGGCTGTCACTGTGACAAATTGGTGCGGGACGTGAGTTTTGAATTCGGAATTTGAATTTTTTAAGGACAGTGAAGGTACAATATCTTGCGTATTTATCTCAAATGAAAATGAAAAAGATTTTATTCACATAAGCTTGTTACAAGCACTTATGAATCGCCCAAATACAAACTTTTTTCCCTACCACTGTTTCAGGAATTCTTTTGGCTGAAAGGAAGAACAAATGTAAGAAATTTACCAGTACTTTATCAGTACATAATAATATAATTAAAACAAATATCAATAAATGAATAAATCTAGCCAGTATAGAACAAACTCCCATGCATTGCGGTCCTTAAAACAATCAAAATTCTTTATAATAACCTTTACTTTATTTACAGGTATGTCAATTACATTTATAGAACCATGGAACTTTATGGATTAATTTATTGAAATTATGAGAAATTAAAACGGTGAGAGTTGTATAAAGTTTTCAGCTATATCAATCAATTCTGGCATTAACTCCTAAGATTTCTCTGGGGTTCCTTAGTTTAGAAGTACTTAAGTTTTTGTCGACCGGCAACATATCGCACACCTAGATCTAAACTAAGACAACTCAAAAAACGAATTTGGAGGTTTGACAATACATTTGTTTACATGGCAGGAGCACGACCACTGTTGATTTAACAAAAGAAAGCTAAAGTTATCTAGTGGCTCATCCCCAAACCTTTATTGAATCTGTTATGTTGGATAGATGCGTATGATCACAGAGAATTTGAATATTGTACTAAGTAAAAACTCAATCAAATTTTTGAGTTGTCTCAGTTTAGATCTAGGTGTGCGATATATAGACTTACCCTTTTTTAATAATAATAATATCCGTTTATTTTGCTCTTCAAAATATTATTAAATTATACATACTTAAATTTAAACCTAATCTGAGAAAGATACCATAGGTACCAACAGGTCACCAGGCTCATTTTACGTTATGTTAACAAGAAGTATGTTATATAAAGGTACTCCGTTATTTATAGACATTTTGGATATTATCCAAATAATTTATTTATCTTAATTACAATTGAAATCTGCAGACTGATGAATTTAATCTACGTGAGAAACGTGTGAGATGAACATAAACAAGTTGCTAATATATGTATGATGACTATTTAAACAATAACAAAAACAGATCACCTATAAATTATATAAAAAGGATATTAAACTAAAATAGCCTACAATTAGGACCTAGTCCTATGCGATTTCTACGCTTACGTTACAGATCGGTTGTTCAGGCAATAACTGAAGATCACTAGGTTATAGTATCTTACCAATATAATAAACGCGAAAGTTTAAGTTGTATGTATACTTATTAGTCTTTCACCTTTTTAACTTTTACCACTAAGCACTAAGAAACAGGTATAATCCCTCTCTTATTTTATAAAACTTGATCGGATCTCCGATATTCCTTCGTCAACTATGATTACCTAATTTGAATTATGGTCTACCTATTTATTATATTGAAGTTGACGAATATAATTTGGTTTCTATTTTATATACTAATATTATATTGTATTGAATGGGCTCCGAAACTGTTGGACTAATTTTATAAATTCTTACACTTGAAGCTACATCGTATACAGGTGATCTAAGCTACTATTTACGATGAATTACCACGAAGAGTCGCGGGAAAATGGCTAGTTTCATATAAATAACTTTTAAAATACCCCTTAAACTATATTTCAATAACTACATGATTTGACAGACATGTGCTTCGCTAGGAAATTTGCAAATAGAATAAAAGCCATTCATACGCCACCGGCCACACAAAAAGTGCCGAAAGCATCTCATTGCGGTGACGACAAATGGTTATTCGGAAATTTTCGGGGAAAAAATACAACAGGCCCCATAGAAATAGTTAATAGTGTGTTCCGAAGCGAGAAATTTGTCACAATAGTGGACCCTATAGCAATTATCA